TGAATTTTGAAGGAAAAAGAAGAAGATGTTAGCTCAAGGATCAAGCAATAACTCCTTTTTCATCTTTGGAATCACTCTCTGGATGATTCTTGATGATTCTTTGGTTGTAGATCTAGTTTCTTAGCATATTTTGGTCCATAAGAAATTTTTGGTTAGTTTGAAGTGATAAAGGTTGCAACTTTATGACTCTCCTGAGTCCCATGAACAATATATCTTGTAGATCTAGACTTTGGTTGGGGTTCTTGACCTTGCATGAGTTTTTGGTCACTTTTAGCTCATTTTGACCTAAAATGGATTATAAACATGCATTGGACATACATGTCTATAAATCACCCACCTTTATGTTAGATGTGGTATTAGAAACTCTTTTGGAGTGGTTGGCTTAAGGATTTTCGGATTAAGGGATTAATGGTTAAGTCTTTGTTGTATTTTGCCTTATTTGGGCCTAGGGTTTGAGATCTTGATCCATTTAGACCATAAAATGGACCAGATCTGAGCTTTGGAGCTCTTAGACTTGAAGAAAATGGCTTAACCCATTAAGTTGTTAAAAACCTAGCGTCCACTGCGTGGTCTTAGGTCGCCACGACATGGCGACTGGGAAATGTCGTACTGTATTGTTGTATGAGGGCCACAGCGTGGTCATAGATGGCCACGGTGTAGCGGTTGACTAAATTCAACGTTGACCGTTGACTATTGACTTGAGTTGACTTTTGGTCAAACTCCTAATTTTGAAAGAATAGTTAATGGATTACCTTGTGTAATGGTATAGGTGGTGCATAGGATCGATATTTCTAACAGTGAGAGCAATAGGAGTTAAGTATCGACTAAGAGGTGAGTCTCCTCACTGTACTTGTAGGTCGAAGGCATCAATGCCGGCCTATTGGATTATGTTATGTAGTAAGACCAGGTGGTGGCCCTTGGCAATTGTATGAAAGACATGGATGTGGCTCTTGGCACTTTGTATGCAAGACCAGGGTGTGGAACCTGGCAGATATATGTAGGATGTTAGTTGTCTTTGTGATACTTACATGGAAGAACAGGAGGTGGCTCTTAGCACTTGTTTGTAAGGCCTGGGTTTTGGCCCCCGACTTGGCAAGGAAAGACCATGATACGGCGTATGGCATGATAGTGATTGTAAGACTATGGTTGGCACATAACATTCTTTATTCCATGCATGATATGTGGTATTTTGGAGAACTCACTAAGCTTTGTGCTTACGATTTTATGCTTATGGTTTCAGGTACTTGTGGTTCCAACGGGAAGGCATGACATGACTGCACAACACCCCCCAGAGATTTTCCGCATTTGCTACTTGTGATTTTTCCTCTGATGTTTAAATGATACATTCACTTTGATTGGTTTTGGAACAACTAATTTGTATGATTTATTGTTAAAAATGAAAATTTTACTATGATTTTTTGGGACGTTACACTTTTGCATATTTTCTACAAATAGACATTAAATTACTGAACAAAGTAACAAACCCCTTTTTTTATGAACTAGAAATAAAAAAAAGTAGGATTCTATAAGAACTGGAAAAGTAGGATGATGTTCAAAGATTTATTTGTAGAAAAGTAGGATGCCATTAAAACGGATTATCAACTTTGGAATCAAAAACACAAAAGTTCAAATTCAGTTAATAACATCTTACTTTTCGACAAATATATCTTTTAATAGCATTATACTACTCCATTTAATACAAAATAATAGCCTTGTACTTTATTGCCTTATACAAGAACATATTTTGCAATAATTCCCACAACTTAATTTTGATGTATAACAATACTTTTGTCTGACAGATTGTGTGAAGGTGGAGAGCTTCTAGATCGGATATTCTCCAGGTTAAGTACTTAAACCAATTAATTCTTAATTTGCACATGGATTCTAACTTTTCCACATTTGCTGTTGTAGGGGTGGAAGATATACAAAACACGATGCTAAATCCATTGTTATGCAAATATTAAATGCGGCTTCATTTATTCATCTACAAGGAGTTGTACACCGTGATTTAAAGCCATATGTATCCATTGTATATACAATTACTTTTTTTAAATTTAATCTCATTTGGAAAAATCAAATGATGGTTTTTAGCTTCATTTTAAAACGATGATGCTTGGGTAGAAATTTCTTTTTAGTACAAAAAGACAGATTCTCCAATGAAGGTTATAGATTTATGTTTATCCGATTTTTGTTTGACCAGGTAAGTAATGTTTTTTTATTAATAAGCTTACTTTTTTTAAGACTATATTTATATAAAACAAAAAAAATCACTTTTCATGTGGTATTCTCTTATTGATCGATTTATATGAATCATATATTGTTGTGAATACGAAAACAAATGCAGGTGCAGAAGGCTACAAAGATTTTAGATACAGGAGTTGTTCGGGCAAGACTGTAAAGGATGTGATTGTGTATTCCGGTGGATGTGCAACTTTTGATCTTCCATTACATGTTGCCAAGGACATCCCTGGTGCTTTTGCTTACTCTCACGTACACGTCTTTTTATTTATGCAAAATTGAAGTTGTAAGTATTGTGTTTATCAAAAAATAGATGTAGATGAATCTTGTGTTCAACATTTAACAGTTGAAGTGTTGCAATATAAAGAGTGTATTGGAAAATTTGTAGTTGAATTGCGTACATTAACATCAAGATCAATAGTTCTGCATCATAATGTTAGTAGAAATAATTTAAATCGGTAATAAACATGTTTTTGTTTAGGAAAATTGTTTTGGATAGCAATTTTGATTCCTAAGAAATTTGAATTCTTAATGTAAGTCTTCTGTGTTTGGTTCTGGTGTAATAATAAGCTACAAGGGTATTTTGGATATTTTGTAGATTGCCACGAGAATATGGTTTTGTATGTGATAGTAAGTAGAGTTTTAACTCCTAATATGATTATTTCCTAATATGGTTATTGAATCAATTGGAATAATAACAAAAAAAATTGGGTAAATTACATCAATCGTCCCTCGTGCATATGCCAGAAAGCGTGTTTAGTCCCTATTTTCATAAATTAACTAAGACCGTCCCCGGTTCGATTTAACGTTGCACGTTTCATCCCTGAAAGACAATTTTGTTGCGAACTTAGTCTTTGCCAAATTTTAAATGACCATTATACCCTTGTGTTTTTATTGTTCAATTAATTTGTTATCTCTATTATCATTTTCAATTAAAAAATAATAATAAATGCCCCATCCCCTTCACTTTCCCCAACCCATCCACCTTTTAATGTTACCGATCGGGCAGAAACATACAAACACACACACACACATACAGTCACTGACCACCCTCCGACGAACCTTCCCCACCCTTTCACTACGTTACTGATCAAGAAAATAAAAACACAAAAGATACAAACTTGATGAGAGGGAAAGAGGAGACCTACAACTCACAGATGGTTTTGGATGGGTGTCGCAGTGTATAGCGTTGGTGGGTTAACGACGATCAGAAAAGAGTGAGCAGGAGAAGGAAGAATGAGTGGTGTTTTTTCCAGAATAAGAAGAATGAGGAGGAGCGCCAATGAGGAATTGAAAAGGAAAGCCTACGACGACTAGGGTTTTAGATGGTTGTTGGACTGCATATCCGTCTCCGACCTCCTTCACCTCCAAGAACATAGGGTTTCACGAACACGATTATCGCCATCGATTAGGGTTTCAAACCGACTGAAGCTGTCGATCACCTTCTTCATATGTACGCCGCCATGGATTTCCATCAGCTAGGGTATTGAGATCGATGATTTCTAACATATGTTTTGATCGATTTCCGAAAGATGTGTAGATTGATCCGGGCCTCCATCGTCACCTGGACAATGTCATCAGAGATGGAGAGGGTGATAGAAGGTGGTAGCAGGTGGTATAAGGTGGCGATTGTGGTTTGGTTCAATGATGTAGTTCTGCAAAGGAGGTGAGAACGGGGGAGAAGGGAAGTGGTGTACTGTGATTTAAGGGTGATAGAAATAGGGTGTTGGCGGTTTCCGGCGATGCTTGTGGCTAAATATGGTGTCGAACTTGAAGGTAGTGGTGGTGGCTAATGGAGGTTGTGGTTGTCGGTATAAGAGGAGGGGTGAGGATATTTGTTTTATGTATTTATTTTTTAATTTTAACTGATAAAGAAATAAAAGAAAATGAAAAAAAGAAATTATGAAGTGTAAAATAGTCATTTCATGTCCATAGGGACTAAGCGTGAAAGAAAAAACAAATTCATGGACGGTCCGAGTTAATTTTTGAAAATAGAGACTAAACACGTTTTCTGACATATGCACTATGGACGATTGGTGTAATTTATCTAAAAAAAATTAAAAATTAAGAAAAAAGGACCTAAGACGAAGTTCGGGTTTTTTTGGTAGTTTTAATGAATTTCATAGATAATGTTTTAGTTTATGTGTCATTTTCAGAGATGATATCTGATCATTGTTTCTAGTTTTTTTTTTTTTAAGTTTTGAAAAATGATAAAATTGAATTAAGTTTTTTTTCCTATGATATTAAAACTTTTTAAAATACATGGTAATTTATTGTATAATAATTAACGGCCATATTTACCTCGGCAATTTCTTTTTTGACCACAAACATGTAGTTTGTAACCGTCTTTTTTGGTTCATTAAATCTTCAAAATGTTAACAAATTTAATTTAAAAATATAAAAAAATAAAAAAAGATAGGGTCCCAAAAAGATACAAGTAATTTGCATTTAACCCTCTGCAGTCCTTCTCTCTCTTCTCCCGCCACTCATCACCGTCGCGTGTCGCCGTCGCCACCCATCTTTTATGGTTGTTTCTTGAAAAAAAAACAAAAAACAAACCCTTTTCAGATATTTCAAAAGCCTCTGGTTTAATGATCATCGAAATGTTTTAACAACATTTCATGATATATACATCCATCTCATTTTCTCTATTCTAAAGAAACATCGATATCGATTTCGGAATCACCTGTTTCTCTCTCTAACCCTTCACCTTCTCTCTCTTTAAATTCCAACGACGCGACGGAGGTGGTCCGCCGTTGGCGATGGCGGACATCGTAAAACAGATCATAGCAAGACCGATTCAATTGGCAGACCAAATCGTAAAAGAGGCAGATTTTGCTTGCTCATTCAAACAAGATTGCGCCGATATCAAAAGCAGGACAGAGAAACTTGGTGTTCTCCTCCGACAAGCCGCACGTTCAAGCAATGACCTTTATGAACGACCCACCCGCCGGATCATCGATAATACAGAACAGATTTTAGACAAGACTCTGCAACTTGTATTCAAATGCAGAGCTAATGGCTTACAACGGGTGTTCACCATCATCCCCGCCGCCGCCATTAAGAAATTTTCACAGCAGATTGAGAATTCAATCGGAGACGTGTCATGGCTCCTCCGTGTCTCAACTCCGGCGGAGGAACGTCACGATGAGTGTGTTGGGTTGCCGCCTATTGTAGCCAATGAGCCAATGCTTTGCTTGATATGGGAGCAAATTGCAGTCCTTTGTTGTGGGACCCTTGATGATCGAGCCGATGCAGCGGGATCACTTGTTTCATTGGCACGTGATAATGATAGATACGGTAGATTGATTGTAGAAGAAGGTGGTGTGCCACCTCTTTTGAAACTAGCTAAAGAAGGTAGAATGGAAGGGCAAGAGAGCGCGATTCGAGCAATAGGTTTGCTCGGTCGTGACGCAGAGAGCGTCGAACAAATCGTCAATGCAGGCGTCTGTTCGGTGTTCGCAAAAATACTTAAAAAAGGGCACATGAAGGTTCAAATTAGTGTCACATGGGCCATATCCGAGTTAGCAGCCAACCATCCAAAATGTCAAGACCATTTCTTGCAAAACAACACGATTCGGTTACTCGTGAGTCATTTAGCATACGAGACGATTGAAGAACATAGCAAATACACGATTGTTAACAAAAACAATATGCCAAACAATATGCCATCGATGCATGCGGTTGTTGTCGCGAATTCGGATCACAATGCTAAGAATTTGCAAGATAACAACGATAAGTGCCACGTGGCACGTCCCGGTGGTCTAGATTCAAGTGAAATGCATCAAACGAGTAATAGTGTTACCATTAAATCGGGGCCTAGTATGAAGGTAAATCAAACCTCACCACAACAACGAAGAGAAAAGAGTAGAAGACGTGTTGCATTGCCAGGGGCAAGCATCAAAAGGAGGGAATTCGAAGATCCGGCCACAAGAGTTGAAATGAAGGCGATGGCGGCTCGAGCCCTATGGCACCTTTGCGCCGATAACTTCTCCATTTGTAAAACAATAACAGAATCCCGAGCACTTTTGTGCTTTGCAGTTCTCTTGGAAAAAGGTGAAGATGAAGTAAAATATAACTCAACAATGGCATTGATGGAAATCACTGCGGTGGCTGAACGTCAAGCTGAGTTGCGACGTTCAGCCTTTAAGCCAACGTCCCCAACAGCTCGTGAGGTTGTGGACAAGCTGCTTAAAATTGTTAACAAAGGAGACTCGGATCTCCTTATCCCAAGCATCCAATCAATTGGAAACTTGTCCCGCACATTTCGAGCCACTGAAACGAGGCTCATCCCTCCTTTGGTGAGGCTTCTTGATGAGAGGGAATCTGAGGTGTCAGCAGAGGCAGCTATTGCACTTATAAAGTTCGCATGCACGGATAACTATTTGCACGTGAACCATTGCAAGGCGATATTAGAGGCGGGAGCGCCTAAGTACTTGATTCAACTAACTTATTTTGGGGAACAAATGGCACAGTTACCGGGCTTAATTCTTCTTTGCTATATCGCGTTACATGTGCCCGATAGCGAGACATTAGCTCAAGAAGACGTGCTGATTGTGCTTCAATGGGCGTTGAAACAAGGTCATTTAATGCAAGATTCTTCTTTAGAAACACTTGTTTTGGAAGCCAAACAGAGATTGGAGATTTTTCAATCGAGGGCATTATATTGATTTGATTTATGTATTTGGCTTTTTGTTTAATTCTCTTTTGAGTGTAAATATAGTTAGGAATACACACGTAATTCTCTTTTTAGAGTTCTCTAACCAAAGCAATTGTTTTAGAGTTCTCTAACCAAAGCAATACGTACAAAAGTATAAGTCGATAGGATTTTGAATTATATATGCTTTAAAATATAATAGTTTAGGATGAACTTTTTCTATTACAAACACTACATGTAAAACCCGTGTAATACACGTGTTGATTAAAAAAGATCAAAGTGTAAACAATAAATATTCATTAAAATAAAATTTTGAAATAATAAATGAAAAACATATTAATTGCAATTTATTATCAC